GCATCCACCTTGGGCAGCGGAAAGGTGTGCTGATGCAGTTCTCTTACCCCTCAGGGTCTGCCCCAGGCAGGGGGTGCGTGTTTCACTAGCCCCACAGACACCGACGGTTTGGGCAGGTCTGCATAAATATGTGCAGCTCGTCTCGCTTTGGCCAAGGAAGGGAGAAATTCAAATATTGCAGTGTGTGAGTGCTGAGAAGTGAAAGGGCATCACACATTCCCAAGGGGTCTTCCCAAGCAGAGGAGCTGCTGTAGTGCTGGTGGATGCATCAACTGGGGTTTGGAACAAGAGTGAGTCGGGTTTGTCACTGCTTTTGTCATTGGTGACACTTTTAAAGTAGCCACGACCAAACAGTCAGAGTCACATTCAACCTTGGACAACTTGGAGCAGTTCCTGGTGCCACGAGCCCTCAGGTCAGTGCTGAGCTGAGCTGTTTGGCTGATGCTGATGCTCTGCAGAGAAGCCCATGGCATTGCCAAATGATGCAGTTTCAGCGGTGGCGAGTGCGCTCGTGCTGCGCCTCCACTAATTAACCTCCAAAAAGACCTCCAGGATATGAGCCAGCCTCTCTGCACAGGAGCCTCCGTGCTTTTAACACAGATACTCTCTCGAAACCAAGCCTAATACCTCTGACGCAGCCCTGGAAAGTGCCTTTTATCTAATCGAACTCTGACCACTTCAGCATGGAGGCATTTGCAAAATCGGGCATGCAGCACAGGAAATGAACAGTCAATCCTGTGGGGACTGAAAGCGCCTCCATGGTCTAACATGTATTGATTTGTCCATATTTTACAAAACAAAAAGTATTAGTATTGCTGCTGCCTCACAAGTATCTGTACTCCATTAGTGTGTATACATTAGCTATTGAGCCAGTAGTAGTAATGAAAAGCTTGTGATACAAATCATGGAAACTTAAATGGGGAAAAAAAAAGAATAATAAGCTATATAGGATAGCTAAGGTGTTTATAAAGAAAGGGGGCTGTCTTCTGAACTACAAGAAATTTTTGAAATGTTGGATGCCCGAGTAAGAAAGCTTGTCACAAATGCTGCTTCCTTCCGTCAAATTGTAATGGAATGAGGCAAAGGAGTTGGACATGACAGAATGGCAAATGTTTGGGGAGAGAAACTAATGTTGGAAGGAAGGGACCAAGGAATATATTCCAAGATGTGAAACTGCTATATTTGATTTAGAAAGTACTAATTTTTCTTTGGATTTCTGTGGCAACAAGGAAAAAGATTTGGCTAATCTGTAACTGTGTTCATATCTTGGCACAGGGACGATTCGAAACGTGCATTCTCGTGAATGGAGTGAACATCCCGTTCCCAACTTCCCCGGTGCTTCCTGGGAAGTATTGGCATTGCTTCGTTTTGTTTTGTTTCCTTACAGAGCTGTGTACTGCCGCTGTTTTACAGAGCTCTTTGGTCCTAGGCTTTTTAAAAAGAGTAGTGAGTTGTAAAGGAATTGTTTTAATTTGCTTGTGAATTTGGAACCACTTTCAAAGTAGATTAGGTGGCTTAAGTTGATGTGGCCTCTTGGCAAATGAGGTAATTAGGCTCCAAGTGTGTTGCTCTAGTGATCTTTGCAAGACTGACTGAGAGATACTTGTGCTGCATTAGCTCAGTGGAGTCCTGTTAACAGCTCTGAGTGCTGAAATGGGCAGTAAGACTATAAGTTGACAATAAATCACAAAATGCATCTGTGTATTTATGTTTTGTTGATATACTCCCTGTGGATCTGTGTTCAAATGAATCTTATTTACTTGAGTAAATTATATAATCTGGTAAATAGATGATGACCTTGTAGGCCATCACTCTTGGCAGAAATAACTTTCAGGGAATGTTTTTGATGAATGTTTCCAAATTAATTTTCAAATTTTAACTTGTCTCATCTATGTCGTGAGTAGTTTACAAAGAGTTATGGAATTTAAGATTATAAAACCATCAAGAAATCGTTAATCCTGGTGTTTGTGTGTGGGTAGGAGTCATTTGGCGTTCAGATGGTGACCCCGTTTTGTGCAAGAGCCGCAGTCGGGTTGCGTAGCGGGGTAGTGTTTGACCGCGTGTGCCTACTTCCTTCTTCCTCCCTAGCACTCCGGTCGCCCACAGACCTGCGGGCTGGCAAATGTGGGTAAAAGTGGGAATCCAGCCCTCAGTCTCCTTACTCAGCACGTGCGTGTCTTCGGATGTGATAGCTGTACTTCTATGAGTGATTGAGTACTGCTGGTGACTGAGCAAACTGGTGACGGGGGAGCGGGCTCCCGGTTTGCTGAGCACGTGAATGTGTTCCTGCCTGGAGGTCATGTAGGTTATAGGCTTGCCCAGCTAACATTTTGAGCACCTTCTGAGTGAGGGGTGATTATGTGGAGAGCTGCTGCTGGGCAGGGATCTGTTCCACAGAGTTGCTGTTTTTTAAAATGACTTTGACTAAGACACTCTTTTTGTTGTGTACTTCAAGTTCCTCGAGTGCAAAATAGGTATGATGGTGGCAGAGTCTCCCGTGTGAAATGCTTGAGAGCTGATAAAGGGGAACTAGAGGATACTTTTTGCTTTTTATTATCTTTTTTTATATATATACATAAAGAAAGTAAAAGCACCGTGAAATCTAGAATCTAGCTATTTATAATATCTAGCAGTGCTGGCTACTTTTGAAAACCCTAGCCAGTTGTGCAATTAAGCACAAGTAGTCACTCTCCACATTATAGGAATGCACAGAGACCTGGAACTTCCTTCCCATATTAACTCGGTACTTAAAAATGGGCTTGAACTGTGAGAGCGGAAATGAGTCCCTGTGTGCGCGCGGTCCCAGCTTCGCGTTGCGCTGGTGTGTGTGTTTGAGACGCTGCTTTACTTGGCCCACAGCCTGTGCTCTGTTGCTCGTGCAGGTGATAGTGACCGTGCAGAGGCCCCTTCGCAGAGGAACGAGTGAGCAGTGGGGACCCGAGTGTTGTCGTTGCTGGTTTATGCGCTGGGCCTTACCGAGGCGAAGGGCGCTGTGAACTGTCAGTCATTCTGTGCTTATCAAACACGTCTCCGATCACCCTGCGGAAGAGGCTCCTGCCTTGCTAAATGCGAGCAAGAAGGGTAACTTTAACATGGAGGGGTTACGCAGAATTTTGGTAGGATTAAAGAAAGATGAGGGAACAGCAGACTAAAGCGGATCCTGTCACAGAGCAGGACACATATTCATGTTCTGTAGCGGTTAAAAGTGTACTAAACGCCAGCCCTGCTCTTGGTCAAGGCTGCCGTGGTTGGGAGAGGATCTCGCAGTCCCACAGTTGTCAAGACGGAAGGTTCACTGCGGAGCAACAGTGGCCTGGTCTTCAGTTAACTTTATGAGCAGACTAAAGCGGATCCTGTCACAGACCAGGACACATATTCATGTTCTGTAGCAGTTGAAAGTGTGCTAAACGCCTGCTCTTGGTCAAGGCTGCCGTGACTGGGAGAAGATCTCGCAGTCCCACAGTTGTCAAGATGGAAGGTTCACTGCAGAGCAACAGTTGGCCTGGTCTTCAATTAACTTTACATAAAAGTCACACTCCTCTTTGGCTGTGGCAGACTTGGTGGTGAAATCTGTAGAAATTTAATTTTATTGGGTTAGAGAGCTCAGGCTTTTTTGTACAATTTTATTGCTCTGCTGGATGCGCGGGGATATCATCTGCAGTCGCTCTCTCCTGTGTGAGTGCCTTCCCAAGGTACACAGGTACTTCATCCGTGTGGGTTTTAGCGAGACATCGCTTGGGGAGCCTCCGTGTGTCTGACACGTGGTGATGCCCTCACCTGGGCTCTGCTGGAACAGCCTTATAAATACAAGAGTACTGATCTCCCTGATACCAGGTAAGTATGGGGAGTCTTGCCCTGTCTTCCTGGCCCTGTGCTTGCTCAAGCTGCAGCTGGTTTGTGAATGCTGTGACGGATGAGAGGAGCGCTGTTCCTTGGCCTGGAAGGAGCGATGGTGAACCTTTATTTTAGGCAAGGCACAGAACCAGACACGGGGGTGGTGGGGCCTGGAGGCAGAGTTCCTTTCCCAGGCTCCTTCTCCTGCTGCTTGGGGAATTTGTTTTGCGTTAACCTACTCATCTGAAGATAAACACACATCTAGCAGAACAGGATTTAGGAGGTCCCAGGCCTGTGAGAAGCTCTGCATTTGCTGGGGGATTTCGATCCAGCTGTTTCATTATTAGATTGGTTTCAGGTTTTTGTCTGTGAAAAAAAGTGGCCAACATACTAATTAATTGTGGGGGCAGGTAAAGCAGAAGCAGCACTGTTGTTTTGCCAAGTGATACATTGCGTTTTGCAAAGCTTAAGATCAGTGAGTGGGATGAGCTACTGGGAATGGAAGCATGACTTCTATACAGCGTTGTATTTGGTTTGGCAGAAACTTCCACAATATTTTGGTTTCATTGTGTTTGCTCTGCAGGGTCACCGTTCTCACTAAATCTAATCACGTTTTTTTTCTGTCATCCCTGCCAGAGAAGAAATTCTGTCCCGTTGATGCCAATGAGAAATCTTGCACCGTTACTCTAGAAACATGTTGAGTTTATCCAAAAGGGAATGTTTGTTCATATTCTCGTATATTGCTAATAATATCCTGTTTACCTTACATATTTTTGTTCCGCTAAAGTATATACACTGTGTTCCTGCTTGGACCTTTTATCCTTCCTGCTCTTTAAAGTGTCACTAAGAGTTCCCTTAAATTCTCATGAGAGACTGCTTAAGTAAATAACTCCCAGTTAGATGGCATTACAAATACTACACAACCAGTTTACATGTTACAGCAGTGTATTCGCCCTGCCCTACTGGATCAGAGATACTTTCTTCAGTGTGCGTGGCAAGAGTCCAACCGACAGCAAAGGGAATTGAGTGTAGCCTTCCTAGAGGCTCTTTCCCTTTGCTGTCAGGATGCAGCAAAGTCCTAGGATTTTTCCTTGAGGGGAATTTTTAATACTATTCCTCATATACAAAATATGTCTTACCAGTTATGCTCTTTATTTTTTTAACAGGTATTGGCATCATGTCGAGCATTTCTTCTAACATCTCGGATCCCCACCAAGGTAAAGCTGCTGTATTTTCAAAACTGTTCAGTATTTTTAGATATAAATGTCAGCTGCTCAGTCTTTGTCTTATATTGACTATATTTGTGTACCTGTTTAAAAGAAGAAGAAGAAAAACAAAAAGTAATGGTGTTGAATTTGTTAGAATGGAATTTACACTGATGTGTATCCTAAAAGGATTTGTCAGTTTAGATAACTTGTGGAATGCATCTGGATGGAGATTTACATAGTAAAAGGTTAACTTGAATAACTGCAATATGAGCCTGATGACCTTGGTAGTGAGACAGTTTGTGCACAAGCAAACAGAAGGCATTACTCTCTCGTAGCATTTAGTTTCAAATAAGAGTATATTTGGAGACAGACATTGAGACTTTTACTGTATTTGAATGATATTTCTTTCTGTGGACATTGCTGTTCATTGTGAAAAGCATCTTGTCAACATGCCTTATCCCTGGTGGTGAAGCATTCCTTCTGTTCCTGGGACAATTTGTAGTGATTATTGTAGCAGGGAATTAATTCCTGCGTGAGCAAAAATGAGTGACTCGCAGGATGCTCTTTTGTCCAGCTTGGGATCAGTGAATGTGTGCTTGGCATTTGTCCATGTTCTATTTTGTTGCATTTCTTTTATAGATATATGTGTGCATGTGTGTGTGTCTATGGAGTGTATATATGCTTCATAGAAAAATAAGATGGAAAGATTGATGCAAGATTTTCTGTTCTGGATGCCTCACTTATGTAATTTGAAGGTTCTGCTTGGTGGATGAGGTAATTCTGCTTTTAATTTCTGTTGAAGCTTAATACCCTCAGCTCATCAGCCTGTCCCTGCTGCCTACATATCTTAGCTGCTTGTCTTTTGCCCCCTGGACCAGCGCAGTTTAAAGGCCCTTTTAAGATAGTTTGGTGACTGGTTACGTGAAAACATCGAGCTAACTGAGGAACAACTCGAACACCCTCACATGAGGGTGACAGAGCCCTGGAACAGGCTGCCCAGAGAGGCTGTGGAGTCTCCTTCCCTGGAGATCTCCAAACCCACCTGGATGTCACCCTGTGCCACGTGCTCCGGGTGTTCCTGCTGGAGCAGGGGGTTGGACTAGATGATCTCTGGAGGTCCCTTCCAACCCCAACTGTTCTGTGACTCTGTGATCTGTGTAGTGAGGGTATGATGGGTGCGTGTTGATGGTGACCTCCGTAGGCAACTAGGAGCAAAGCTGTTATAATTCATTAGAAAGCTCTTGACAACAAGGAGTTGCTGTTCCCAATGAGTAACTGTAATACTAGTTTAAAATCACTGTCCCCTCTACAAAATTTATTTTGTTAAATGGATTTACTTAGTTGGGGAACTTATTTCTATTTCCTTTGTAATCTAGAAGGTGTGCTTTACTAACAAAGCTCTGACTTTAATGAAATAGAAGAATAATCAGAAGAAAGTCCTTCTGCAGATGATTTATTTCAAAATGAAGCTTTGCAATCATTAGGATGATTAAAAAAATGCCTTTTTTTTTGGTAGCAGAAAGATTAACGAAACGTACTGATTTTTCTAAAGCCTGTCATATTTTCAAAATCTGCCTGGAAGCTTTCTGATCCTGCAAACCTCAGTTTGACTAGAATGCAGTAACTTCTAGGGAGACTGCAGAAAAAATGCTTCTATAAGCTTCAGGGAACTCTCACAAAATCCCGTATGCCCAGAGTTCGCCAGTTTTGATGAGTGTTGTTGCTGTGTCTGATTGACCTTTCCTTGAACGGCGCTGCTGAGATGTGTCTAGTAAACAAGGATGAAAGTTAAACAGGGTAAAAGCGGATTAAGTATCACATCCACTGGCGCGATTTCCTTGGAGCAAAGATCTTACAAACTGTGGACACCTGAACTTTACAAAGAGGATCAATCCGTTAATTTCCACTAAACTAGATGTGTTTTACAGCTTCAGCAAGGCTGTTTACCCCTTTTCTAGGAAAGGAATTGCAGTACTTAAACATACTAATTCTGCTGTCTGTATAAAGGTAGTTACAACATCAGTAAATGCAATCAGTAGCTATAACATCAACCTGCAGAAAAGTGTATGATGTAGATGTGGAGACATAATTTCAATCTGTAAACTCACTTCTGGTGCCAGCTCTTAGTAAATTTTAATTGACAAAAAAAAATTGAAAACCGTGAAATTAGCTGACTGGTAACTACAGGGTTTCCTAAATGAATGACACTTACAGCATCTTAAAAGAAATTTTTTGTTGTTGTTGTTTGAAATAGTTATAGGTAATAAACAAGACTAAATGTTTTAAAAGACTGTAAAGAAATTATTTCGCAGTTTTAGAAGAGGAATGTGTTTTGTAGGCTTGTTCCACAAGGACTGTGAATCTTTTGAAAGTAGAAGAATGAGTTGAATCTTAATTATAGACATGCCATCACATTTAATGATATTTGTGAATTCTAGTCAGAATTTTTGCAGGATGAATTCTTGAGTCTGGTTCTGGTAAACTGGTAAGCTATGGCAAACTTTACTGAGGAGTTAAGTACTTTTGATTACGTGAAACATATATGTTGGCACATACAAATACATTACTCATGTAAAGCATTTAATCTGGTAGGTAAATAATTTGAAAAATATGAAAGAAGTAAATCATAGTTCTGCAGACAATTCCTGGTGTGCTTTTACACCCTTTGTAAATGGATATCCTTGGGAATTGCGTTTGGATTCTGAAAAGTGCAGCTGTAGTTCAGTGTCTTTAAAAAAAAAAAAAAAAAAAAAGAAAAAAAAAAAAAAAAAAAAAAAAAAGTTGTCACAGGGTAGAAATAGAATAATCTGGTGTTTGCCTGGAAGCACCCTGATCGTGAAGGGAAGATAAAGTAGGTGATTATTATTTTAAAAAGTTTGTTACAGTTGCAATGATATTGATGTTAAATAAAAGGAAATGGGCATGCCATTTTATTTCTCCACAAAATTTTAGACGTGCTAATACAGTCTTGAGCATTTTATATATGTAGGTGGGTGGGTTATAGGTCCCTTTTAGTTTCTATACAGAAAAAGTTTTCACTTCTGGGATCAATGTTATTCCTGAAAGATTAATAAGGGCTGCTATAAGTAGTCTTACTAAGAGTTATTCACTCACAAGAGTACACACCAGTAGGGTGTTGAATAGGCAATTACGATTTTTATTCTAGAATTTTGTTATAATTTTTGTTTTAAGCTGATAGGCTGATAGCTGTCAGTAAAATAGCCAATTAGATATTCTCACAGCCCCAATAACCATGTAAGCCCATAATAAGCAACATGCACATCTTATTTTGGTACAAAATGTGAGTGGATATAGAATATTAACAAATACTTGATATACGCTATGGAAACTCATGTAAAATAATGATCCTCTTATTTAAGGTTTTTTGTATTAACTGTATTGAAATATGCCAGTGCTTTTTAAAGTAGGAAAGTATTTCATACTAATGTGGCCTTTTCTTTTTTAATTATAGCTAGAACTGACTTTCAGCTACTTGGAAATCCAAGGAATAACTTCCAGTAAACCAGGTCAGGTGGGTGTTTTCAGTCTTTTATCAAACTCATGTTGTGGCACACTGATAGATTTTACTGGTGATATTCTAGTTAAAAGATGCCTCTTTACTCTTTGCTAAATGTGTGCCAGTCAAGGAGAAGATAATGTTCTAGCATGGAGGGCTCCCCATCCAGAGAGCAGACTGCACATTTGAATTGTTGCTTTGATGGTGCCTTTAAAAGCTAAAATAATGGTAAAAATATTAAGGAATCCATTTTAAGAATGTGTGGATGGGATAAAGATGATAAATGCAGCTTTTTCGTAGGTCAGTTGGGATGAAGCTAAAATGGTGCAGGTTTTCATCAGTCACATTAATGTGGCTGTTTTTCTCAGAAATGAAAAACCATTGATAATTGTTATGTAATCCACACCATGCCAGGTTGGATGTCTTTAGTGGTATAAGTCTTTTGTGGTGAAGCCAAATGCTTCTGCTTGCCTTGCAGACAGAGGTTGTTTCTTTTCACCTCTTGCTGGTGTTGTTCCTGCTTTATAAAAAATAGAAAGAAATAAAGAAAAAAGGGGAGTGAGGGGAAAGTTCTGTGCCAAAAAGGTGAATGTCTAGGAGAAGCTGATGAAAAGAAGAATGTCTTTTATACGTTGTTCATTCATAAAAGATGAACATGTTGACAAGATTTGATAGGCCAATTGTATCAAAGTCTTCATGTGTTTCATGTGTGTTTTTTTTTAAGAGTTTTATAGGAATAGGAGTGTCTGTCAGTGCAATTTGAATTCTATAAAGCTTTCCTTGTGTTTAACATGTCATCTGTTTAACCCAGCTTTTGAAGCTTTTCGTTAAGGAAAAAAAGCTCTAGTCGTTTACCTGTTTAATGGGGAGACATTTAGTAAATGGCCTTATTCATTTAAGGCACTCAAATGGCATGGTAGTTAAGAGTAATTATTCCTAGAGGGACAGGCGGAAGTTGTTATAAAGGCTTACAAGGAAAGTGCTGATTTTCAGCAACATCGTTTAGCATACCATTTTCTAAGGTATTTTTGTAAGGCTTTTCTTTTTTTACATTCACCTGTGCTGTAAACTTGCAAGTGTTATAGGTGCCTGCTGGTGGAGGCCTTGGTAACTCCTTTGGGCAACAGGTCTTGTTGCAGCAGCGTGCCCATCTGCGGCACCCTGTGGGCTTGTGCCAGGCACATCACAAAAACAAGATAGGATGAATCAGCACATGGACAGGCAAAAGAACATGAGGGAAACGTGCAGCAGTGCTGGCGATAATAAAAAACGGCAGCGACTTGGCCACTTGTTCATCCTGGGAGAATGAATGGCCACAGGTGCTGGAAGTCGTGGAAGTAGTGGGAACATGAAATTAGTGTGTGTGCTCTGGAGATAATACAGTCCCTGGGTTTGTCTGGTGATAAACCTAGACATAATTGGAAACTAAAAGAGATCCAGGAGCCGGTTTAAACAAAAACCAAACTTCTGTGGCTTGCTGGAGCATCTGTGGTGATCTGCCCTGGCTCTGAACACTCACAACTTAAGAGGCTGCTGACAAGCGGGTTCCGTTTTCTTCACCTCACTGGAGCAAATACCCCCAACGGCAGGGCAGTGATGTGAACTGAGTTACTGCATCAGTTGAACTAAGGCATTGTATTATCTGAATGATTTCTCTAAAAGGCATGGAGCAAAGTATTAATTAACATGTAACAGAGTGGCTGCTGGCGTGCAAAACATTCTGCCAGCATTCAAAGCAACAGCAAACAATTTAAATGAAGGGTACCTGATTCTCCTGCCCCTTTCCTCTCCCCGTTTTGTGCAGCTGATCATGGAAACGGAGAAATGCACCATTACCATGAAGTTGGCGACCTCCGAGGACGTGAACGAGGTGCTGGCCCATATTGGAACCTGCCTCAGGAAGATATTCCCGGGGCTCTCGCCAGTGTAAGTAGCCTTTGGGGCACTTGAGGCAAGAACAGATTGTGTCAACAGAGTGAAGAACCACCCTATAATGGTCCTTTGGTCCTCCACCTTACAGCAGAAATGCAGAGAGGATGTCAAGTGCCTTAAGGCAAGTGCTAAATTTTCATCCAGGCCTGTGGAAGTGTATGGTAGAATGATGAAGCAACACAGAGCTAGGGCAGGCTGTGCTCTATGTGGTCAAAAGCGCTTTCATTTTGACTGGTGAGAGGATTTGGAGTTTTAGGCTTTTTTTTTTTTTTTTAACCTTACTGTCTCTCCAACCTCAGATATAGCTGTGATTCTAGGTGTTTAATTACCTCCTTTTTCCTATAAGCAGTCGCAATATTCAATATTTTTGTTTTATTCTTTTCCATTTTGGAGGAGTCAAATCTGAGTTGGAAGCGGCAGGAAAAAATGTGCTTATTTTCACATTTTGTGAAATCTTATATAATTCACATGACTCTGAACCTGGTGCTTCAAAACTGAGCCCTAGGCCTTCTGTTATATACCTTCAATAGAACAAACAAGTGGCTCCCTGGGTCATGTTTGCTTTTCTAGCTCTTTTTTCCTGCTGCTTCAGTTTTACATTGTTCTTACCTTTGTTTTCTCTTGACTGTTTTATCATCAGCTTCAGAATTTTATCATCTTGCAGCAGTTTTTAGTTATTTTTCTTCATTTTAATTTCCTCCTCCTCTTCTCTAGCTGTGCTGCATCTTCATTGCTACCTCTCAGATAATGCAGCTATATTACTCTCTCATTTTTTGCTTGTTTGCTTGTTTTTTGTTTTGTTCAATTTTAAAGAGAATGGATCATAAAATTTTCCAAGTCATTTTTTTAAAAAGACTTTTGATGTGAACGGTCTTAGTAGTTATATGTGTTTTATTTTGGGTGTCCATCTTTATTATTCACCTGCAGGTGCAGTAGGAAATCAAATTCATAACTTCAGCTGACAGTTTTGTTTTTTATTTCTTGTGTTTTTTTTTTTTGTGGTGGTATTATTAAATGGAATGATGGAGATGGAAATCTTTCCTAAAGAAAGTGTAGAAGTGAATACTTATGAACAGGAGTAGCCATAAAACTAATGATGAGAGAAATGCAGACAAAAAGAGTGAAGAGGGCTGCAAAGCCATGCATGTTTATCTCAGCATCTGTGATTGCCTTGCCAACTTCTTGTTTATTTTTTGGGTTTTTTTTTTTTTTGAGCCTCTTGAGAACCTTGCTGGAGAATTTTGTGTGGCTGTGTGGAGGGTTTAGTTCCCAGAAAAGAAATTTGATTTTTTTTTCTTGCTCTGCTGTCATATGGGACAGCTCTCCAAAATGAACAATATGCTGCTGTGAGACCAGAGGAGGCAAGAAAGGGGAAAAAGATTTCTGCTGTTAACATTGCTTGCTTATTCTTTCCGCCTGTTGTGTGGAATTCCGAAAGCTTTGAGGCTCTCTTGTCATTCAGAAGAACATTTGTTTTCTGTTTCCTAAAAGGCAGAAGAAAGGCTTGTGTTTTAGTGTGGAGTCTGAGGAACACTATTGCACTACAGAGATTACAATTGGATATCTAAATCGCAGCCTAGAGGCCACTCAGCATCCTTCCCTTTGCACCACAGTGTTTTCACTTCATAAAAGCACTGTACAAACTGCAGCTATTTCAGCATAACCCATAACCAAACATACCGTGTCTCTCTCCTGTTTTGGGCATCCTCGTGTTAATCAAGCTCCACAGGTCTACTTAGCTTGGACAATCTTGTTCTAGAAAAGGGTTCAGTTGCTCCAAGAGTCACAGGCTTAGTTATCAGAAGGAAAAAGAGACAAATGCTGCTACTCTTGTTCTGTATCACAGTGTGTTTGACTTCCAGCCAGGGAATCAAATTGTACTAAAGATGGTAATTCTTCCTATACACATCATTAAAATTATATAAAATTATATGTGAAATAAAGATCCATGAGTGCATATAATTGTCCAGGTTTAAAAATATTTTTAAAGCCATGAACGATGTTTTCCCCTTTGCATCTAGGAGGATTCTGAAAAAAGTAACTATGGAGCCTTCAGAAAGACTGGCTAATCTCCAGGCCCTGTGGGACAGTCAGACGGTGGCAGAACTTGGACCTTGTGGTGAGAATGAATTTGAAGGCTCCAATATAAAAAGGTTGAAATTGCAGTGTCAGGAAGTTGAATTCTATTTCTGGCAGAAGCTTGAAAAGGTGTAATTAGTTTAAAGGTGTAATTAGGATACAGTAGACTTCTGATTGGTGGGTGAATGCACTATTTTAAGCTTTTTTGCAACCTGCCGGCTATTGCAGAAGTCGGATAGCCTCAGTCTGTTGCAGTTTCTTTCAGCAGCACAATGGACACCCTTCTGAGAGAAAAAGAGAGTGAGTTTTGAAAGACTCGGAGGTGTTTTTTTAAGTGAGAGTATTGAGGTATGTCTTTAGATATTCACTTGTTTCTTTTACTATTATGTTCAATGCTGCCTTGTGTTGTTTGCAGGAGGCTTTTCACAGATGTACGCATGTGTTTGTGACTGGCTTGGGTTTCCCTATAGAGAAGAAGTACAGTGGGTAGGTACATGTTTTGTGCTGGAGCTCTTTTCTTCTAGACGTACAAAGGATAAAAAAGAAGGTAAATCGCGGTGCTTGAGGGGGGAAAAAAAAACAGTTCTATAAAGATGTATTTTTGATGTACTTTTAACAGGATGTTGATACAATTTATCTGACACAAGATACCAGGGAGCTGAATTTGCAAGACTTCAGCCATCTTGACCACAGGTAAACAACATGCAGGAAGCATGCCAGTACTTAGGAAACTTGTCACGTTTCATAATCCCTCCTTCCAGTAGAATTTGTCTGTCCTGTGTAAGATGTTACTTAAAAGTCTGAAAGCACCTCTGGAATGACCAGCTGTATCACTTTGTGTTTCTAGCACAGCTGTTCTGTTTGCACAAAAAACTCATAGAGACCATGTTACGCTGAAAGGGTTCGAGAAGATGAATTTACATCCAGTAGTTAAAGCAAAATACTGTGTTATGCTATCTTTAGTTCTGCAGAATCTTTTTCTGCTGGTATATTTAGTAAAATAAATGACTTTTTTTAGAAAGTCAGTAAAATACTTAAGTTGTTCATCTGAACCCCAGGAAACAGTCTCTCCTCTTATAATATATGCCAAGAAAAAGATTTACCTTTAGAAAAAAAAGCTAATTTAGAGTAGTTTTACTATGAGATGCAGAAACTTAGCCAGGCATTGTATTGGGTTTACCAAATTCAGCTGACTGAGAAAGTTGGATTCTAAGAATCAATCTGAACTCATTTAAGTAAGATGAAATGGGAAGGAATCTAAATCTGAGTTTATCATTATACAAGAAAAATGAAAAATCTAAGAAGCTTTAAATAAGACATAGAAAGCAGCTGTTTCTGTGGGAAAGTACAATTAAAGAATTAAGAGATTTTTCAGAAATTTGTTGTTAAAATGATTATAATAGAAAAACTAAACTCAAAGGTAGGTAGATTAGAGTATTTCAGCACAGCAGTCTCTGCAGCTGTAAGCTTGCTGTGTGTTAACTTGCACAAAAAATCCACTTGCATATTTATTTGGCTTCTGCAGTGGGTTTGCACAGTCCATGCTGAATTCCATGCTGCTGAACTGAGCTTACTGAGGTGTTTGTACCTGTGTTAGCTACTTAACTGGTAACAGGAACAAGTCTACAGGGCTGCAGCTGCTTCTGTGACCTGTGTAGCCGAAGACTGAACAGGCAGCTAAGAGCTGAGAATGATTGGGAAACATGTACTATTCAGCACAGGCAAATGTGGGAAAAGAATCTAAAAACACACATGTTGCATGGTGGATTGCTGAAAAGAACATACGACCTTTATTGAGGTGACCTGGATACCCAGCATCAATAGAAATTAAGTGTTTGAGCAATTTATAAGGAGTTAAAATAACAATTATTAGTGAGCAGCAGATGAAAGAAACACTTTAAATATTCATTATTTATCAGGTGAGCTGTATTTAGGCAAATGGAATAGTAATTTGTTGTTTCACAGGAGATTTTCATTAAAGTGTGTATCGCAAAATTGACATCACTGAGGAAGAATATTTGTGTTGCTAGTAACAGTCTACTGAATGTCTGATGACTGTGTAAGTTCAAAGATTGAAAACAGTTTTAGAGATGTTTACATGCCTGCAATCCATTTTGTGATGACAGTTTGTGAATGTCATCACAAAGATGAACAGAGAAAAAGACTTTGAATTGAAATTTTCAAGAGAGCTGTAACATTTTTTAAGAAGCCAAAACCTTAAGTGATTCATTGAAAATGCAAATTAGGATCCAAGATCCCAATCAGTTGAAGAATACATGCAAGTATTCTGCACAGTGAGAAAGCTCTAAATTAAGAATAATAACAGTATGCCAAAGCATTCTGGTTTTGAAGAGACTGTTGTGTGTCCTGTCCACGTTATTTTGGGGATTACTGAAGCATCTCTATACTTTATGTTGTGGAGCAGCTCAGAAATGAGGTATAGTGGGATCAATCCTCTATGTACAGAGGCTTTGTATTTCAAAAATAACAATTTGTATTTTTCCTAGTGAGGCATTTCTGCTAGAGGTCAACATAAGATGACATGAATTATAGATGAAGCTTTAAGTTCCCAGAGTGTCTGACAGTTAAAGTGCATAGCATGGCTTGCCACATGGGAAAATGACTTCAGAGGTTTTATTTGAAGTTATGTTGGGCTGTGAACCATGTAATTGTTTAACAACAACAAAAAAGGCCCAAAGTGAACAGGGTTTATTTAACTCAAGAGCACAATATTAATCCAAGTAGCATATGTTTTAGCACTTTTGGACTCTCAAAAAATAAAATGACAGAACAGTGTTATTAGTTTTTTTCTTTCCCCCCACACTCTCAATGTTTAGATTTATTGCCACTGGCAAAAAATACACTGAAAGACAGTGTTGCTGAAAAAACCTGAAGGTACTGCAAAAGCTTGCATGTTGCGGAAGCTTGGAGAGATTTTCTGCATTCCAGAACAGAATCTGTTTTCATTTTAAGATGGCACAGTGTTGTTGTTCTGTAAATCTGTCTTTATTCTGATGGTAGCTGGGCAAACAAGCCAATAAATAAATGTAAGCAACTCAGTATAACCTGAAGAAAGTTATGAGAAGGCCCTGCTTATAGAAATGATTGTTAGCATTTTTTTTTCTTATTGTATTGCAAAAGAATCGACAGTGCAGTTGGTACCACAACTATAATTAAAAAAAAAAAATGAATAAAGTGGTAGAGTGTTTTGGAAAGAGAAGCGCAATAATAAATGCAATGTGGGCAGGCAGGTTAGAAGCAAGAGAGAGTAGAGATAAATTCCAGGAGGACCCCACGCTGCTCAGAAGCACCTGCAAAAATTAAAAAAAAAAAAAAGCCTGAAAAAGCCCTCTCATTTCTGTTTAAAATGAGGTCGAATCTAGTAGAGCAGCGTTTCGGGACAGCACGGGCAGGGTTCCCGCTGCCGGTGCCAGGGGGAGGAGGGGAGCGTGCACGTGGGCAGTCTAATCCCTCGGGGTGTTAGTGGTGCCTGTCTCAAGTTTGCACAAACAGGCCCTGGATAAGGCGGAAGGCGGAACAGGAAGACCAATTTAGAGAGGAGAACTCACAAGGCAGCAGGGCTGATTTATTGAAAATAAACCCAACGGGTTAATACCTCTGCTTTTCTGGTGTTTTTTATCCCCTGATCATTCACTCAGCGAATAGTTCTTTCCAGTTGAGAAGTGAGAAGGTGGGAGGGGAGACCCGGTGGGTGGAAGTGAATCTGCACCCGCCGTGAAGCTGGTGAAATTGGGCTGCCTTTATGAGGAGGAGCTTGGCATGAGACTGCACCTGGGGGAGCGTGGGCACCGGGCGTAGGCCTCGCCGGGCACCGCACGCCAGGTCCTCTGCAAGAGCGTGGAAACGCTCCTGTTTTTTCATGAGCCTCCCAACTGACACCTAGAATCACAGAATGGTTGAGGTTGGAAGGGAGGGATCTCTAGAGGTCATCTAGACCAACCCCCCTGCACACGCAGGGTCACCTAGAGCACGTGGCACAGGACTGCGTCCAAGCGGGTTTTGAAGATCTCCAGAGAAGGAGACTCCACAACCTCTCTGGGCAGCCTGTTCCAGTGCTCTGTCACCCTCACTGTTAAGATTTTTTTCCTTAAGTTCCTGTGGAATTTTTGGTGCTTCAGTTTGTGGAAGTTTCCTCTAGTCCTGTTGGTGGCCACCACTGAAAAGAGGCTGGCCCCATCCTTCTCACTACCTCCCTTGAGGTACTTAAATACACTGATCAGGTCCCTTCTCAGCCTTCTCTTCTCCAGGCTGAACAGGCCCAGCTCCCTCAGCCTTTTGCTGCAAAACACGGCACCTTTTCACTCTTGCCTTAGTGATGGGCTTGCACTCCCAAACGGAACAACTGCCCTTCTCCATGTAGCCTGCTGGATGTTTGCCCATACAACGCTGCCTTCTCTCTTGGCTTTTCTACACATTTTTGCCATCACCCTGAAGTGCTTTGAGTGTTAGTGGAGGGCAAGTCAAGGACAGGAAGAAGAGCACATGAGAAAGAGACACCGTTTAGTGCTCAGAGGTGCTGACCTGCACATGCCTCGAATGGAAAGCTGGAGGCTGGACAGTAGCTTGTCGAAGTCAGTGGTTTTAAGTTTGTCCCTGCCAAAAATGAGGTGGAGATGGCACTGTTGCTGGTCACATAATTCAAAGTATGCTGCAGCTCCTTTATTTTGTTATAAAGAAAAGATGTTTCTGGGTAGTTGCTGAATGCCTCTGTTTGTATACATGTATTTAATGTGTTCTGGAAAGGTGATGCAAGAGTTGTGCTGCTGAATAGCATACTAGCGTATGATGAGCGAATCTGGTGGAGGGTAGTGCACAGACGTGATATTTATGAACATCTGTTATTGGAGGAATTTGGGGAGAGCAGCTCAAATTAAGAGGCTTAGAATAAAGAAACAGAATTTCATTTTAGAAATCCCCTTTACAGTTAGGAGGGGGTTTGGGCTGAATGTCACATTATCCTTTTGCAGGTTTCCCGCTTCCTGAGGGAATATAACTATAGAGATGAGACAAGGAGTTGTTCTCTAGAAGCATTCAGTCATGGAATTCTATTAAATCGTCGGAGTGCCAAAAAGCTTTTTAGCGTCATGCTCAATTATAATTAGAGGTGATTAAGAAGCTTAAATATGTCACAAGCTGAAGAAAAAGTAATGCTGAGAGTAGGAATGGCAGCCTAGACAAATTTCTGCTTTAGAAATTCATGCTAGAATGAATGTCTGTTGGCCAGTCAAAACTCTGTATTAAAATACAGGCAAGATCAAGATACACAACTGTTCATGTTTTACTTTGGAGTGGAGTGTATTAGATATGAAAGAAATGTTTGGTTTGTTTTTTTAGCTACCAAAACTGACAGTTACATGAAAAGTGTGTAAAAGTGTTTTTTCTTTTTCTAGAGACTTAATACCTATAGTTGCTGCTCTGGAGTACAACCAGTGGTTTACAAAGCTGTCCTCCAAGGACCTGAAATTGGTAAGTAATAAATTGAAACAATATGCTTGCTATTTTTTGTCTTTATTGTGTTTTAAGAGGTACTTTTATGTTTTTCAAGAGCTTGATTTTTTTTTAAGGGATGTAAAACTGGGCAGTCTATTCAAAAATATTTTTCCATTAATCATATCCCGAAAATGTGAATGACTGGACAAGTAATTAATGCTGTAAGAACACTACTGAGAGTCAGCTTGAGGTCTTGACAAAATTTTATATGGATAAAGTTTGGAAAGCTTGTTTAGAGATAAGGATGCCACACAAAGCTACTTCATTAGGTGTTGCTAGTTCTGTCAAACCATGTTTGAGTACTAAATAGTAAACTACCCTCAAAGCAACCTGAAATCTCTGTTGCTTTTTGGAGTTGTGAAAAAGTATCAGGGTTTTGTTTCCCTTTTTTTTTTTTCTTTTTTCACAATATAGAGCAGACTTTTCTCCTAATTTTCATTTCAACTTCATGAATTTTTCTCTTAGCTGTCTGAAACTAATCACTTAAAGTAATAAATATTTAGTGATTTGTGGTAACAAAAATGACAAGCTGAAAATAAAGAATAAGAGTCTCTTGATATAAAAATGTGCTCATTGCATTCCTAAGCTATCATTTCCCTCCCTTAAATTAGACAAAACACTTTTTTGCTTTCCTGATGGAGCACCCTGCTTAAAATTGTATATGGTGTGAATCTGAAGGTATTTTAATCTTGTAGTTCCTTGTTAAAACCACAGGTACAGTAAAACTATGAGCTTATGCTTCAAATTCAAAATTGTAAGAAGATAGTACACTTAGGTGACTAGCCAATGTAGTTTGCCTAGAACAAGAGCTGTGTGTATTATCCAAGATGGTTTTTTTCATGGAAATTTTGGGAATTCTTAGCAACTTTTATGTGGAACAGTTTTATTCAAGCATGTAAACTTTGTCAGTCTTTAAAATGCACCAACTTGTCAAAACAAATCTTCACCTTCCAGCCATTCCACTTGCAGTTGAGAGTATCAACAAAGTGTAAGTTACTGGGCAGTAAATCCATGCCATAGAAACATTGCAGAGAGTCAGTATGAGGCCAGGCATGTGCAGAGGCTGCAGAATACATTGGACTTTATGGGGCCCCCTCTGATGTTGTCCCGGGTAGACAGCATCTCCGTTGTGTTTTCACAGCACGTGAAAACACTTCGTTTACAATCACACTGCTGTAGAAGCACTGTGGGAATGCTCTGGAATATTAATATATGGAAGGTAAAAAGAGAATTGGAAAGATAGGTGAGTGGATGCAATTTAGACAAAATTGTGACCCCTACTGTGTAAATGAATAATAATTTTATGTGTGTGGGAGAGTTTGGGGTATTTTTTTCTTCTTTTTAGGAGATTCAATTAGTCTAAACTCAAAAAAAAAAAGTAAAAAAAGTCATCCTGTCATTAGAAATAGAGATGTCCTGAATATGAATATCACTTTGCCGTTTCTAAAGGTGGACACATTTGACTAATTTCAGCACTTCATGATCGTGACTGGAGTACAGCTTTAGGTTCCACATGAATGTTAGTCAGTGTGGGATTTGTCTGGGAATCTGTACAAATTTGGAAGCAAAATAAAAGATTATGGCAAGATGTTGAGTTCACTGGAACAGCTTTATAATTGCTGAGGTTGTCTCTCTCTTCAGGAAACAAACTCTTTTCTTACCATGTTCATGGTGCTTGCAAATGATTGTGCAACTTAGTGCATCTGACAAAAGTGA